TGTTTACAGAAAAAAGGTGTGGCTAGGTAGGGCTTTGGCCCAGCGAGGCTTCTGATTGGCCACTGGAGATCTGATTGGCCACTGGAGATTTTTGAAAACTTTGCTTTGGCAGCAGCTGCCGCCCCAGCACAAGGATTTTCATTGTGTGACTCAAGCTAAGCAATGGCAGCCATTTTGTGGCTGGCTCCACCTCCTACAGAAGCCAGAAAGAGCTCTCTCAGCCCCACCTACCTCACAGGGTGTCTGTTGTGGGGAGAGGAAGGGAAAGGAGATTGGAAACTGCTCTGAGACTCCTTCGGGTAATCTCTTCTTCTTCTACTCTCCAAGAACGCACACAGATTGAAGCCAGAGGCTCTGAAGTAACACCCAAAAGCTCCATCACTGGGCCCTGGAGACGTGATCTCATTTGAAGGAACTAGAGCAGGGCCCCCCAACATGGTGTCAATGGGCACAATGGCACCCACCAAGTGTTTACAGAAAAAAGGTGTGGCTAGGTAGGGCTTTGGCCCAGCAAGGCTTCTAATTGGCCACTGGAGATCTGATTGGCCACTGGAGATTTTTGAAAACTTTGCTTTGGCAGCAGCTGCCGCCCCAGCACAAGGATTTTCATTGTGTGACTCAAGCTAAGCAATGGCAGCCATTTTGTGGCTGGCTCCACCTCCTACAGAAGCCATTTTGTGGCTGGACCCAGAATACTGTGTCAGAATTCCAAAGGCACCCACAAGCTCAAAAGAGTCGGGGACCCCTGAGATGCTACAAATGACAGGAGTTGTCATTGGTTCTGCTTAGGTGGGTGAGGATATTTTGAAGGATCGGGCATCAGGAAACGTTGAGCAAGCTCCACAAAGTGAAGCAGGTGAAGTGGCATCGTTCACAGCTATTCCATGTGTAAACAGCGTTTTGGCTTGACACTGTACATTCCAGAAGTTATTTGACAACCTTTTCAAAAAAAAAATTCAAGTCCCTAGCCCTTGTGGTGTCTCAGATACTTTTGAGAACAAGCAAACGCCATCTTAACAACTGCAGGTGGCCTGCTGTAAAAGCATGCTACACTTTGCTCACTTTGGTTGTCATAGTTGTTGGGGGGAGGGAATTCCTAAGGGGAGGGGGGTGGAGTGAATGAGTGAGACAATGAGACCTTTCGCTTCTAGGAGACATAACTTTAGAAATCAACCTCCTTTCCCTCCTTTCTATTTCCCAGGGGAAGGTGTCCTTGAAAGGCTCTCTGTACCAACTTGGACTGCAGATAACCAAGACATATATCTTTCACTTGGTTGGGATGGCAACATTAGGCATGGTGTGAATGTGACCTGTGCTTGGGGGACGGAAGGGGCTTTTCTTTGAATTTTCTATATTACGCCTATACCCGCCAAAAGTCTTCAGTTCTACCACAATGACATACTGGATCTTGCATACACTTCAATAAACGTATCACTGCCAATAGAGAGTTGTTGAGTGTAACTGGACTGGGGGGGGGGTGGGGCTAACATCTGCTAAGCCAGAACCTTTCTGGCCATCACAGGGGACACCTAACACTGACTTGCCCTGTGGTTGGTGTTGGAAGTCCACAACAGCCCTCTGAAGTAGGGCTATGAACATTACAAATATTCATAATGACACCAACAAGGAATGGAATTTGGAGCAAAGCACTGCCCATTTTGGAAGCACATCATCGTAATGCATTCAATTGTGCAGAAAGGTCTACCAAAGTAGTTAGATGGTTCTCTAGCTAGATTTGGGTGGGCCGCCGTGTTGGTCTGAAGCAGCAGAACAAAGTTTTGAGTCCAGTGGGGCACTTTTAAGACCAACAATTTTTAATTCTGGGTATAAGCTTTCATGTGCATGAACACGTCTTAAAGGTGCCACTGGACACAAACTCAGTTCTCTATCCAGTTAGCACCTTTGTATCCCACCTCTCCTGTGAGGCGGTCCAGGGCTATCCTTTCCCAATTGCCTTCTCATAATAGTCTTGTGACAGTTTGTGCTAAGAGAAAGCAACTGGCCCAAGGTCATCCTGAGAGCTTCACAGCAGAAGGAGGATTTGAACCCAGGTCTCCGAGATTGTAGTCTGACACAATTACCAGCACAAACACATGGGCTCTCACTTTTACAAAATTGGCAGCCCCCCATCCATCCGTCTTAGTCATTTACATCATCATCAAATACGGTCATCGATTTCATAAGCCAAAAATAGAGGCGGTTCTGCTCCCATGGAGCCTGAAATGTAAAACTGACAGCAGGGAAGAAGAAAACAGGAGAGGGAGAGACAAAAATGAGCAAATGCTGCTGGTTACAGTCGGATGGGAGGATGTAAAAACATAATTGCATTAAATTCAAGGGGATGCTCAGCACTTTGGGGATGGGGGGGGGAATAAGAAAGAAACCCTTGCGAAAGAGACCATCCGGCTCCTGTCTTGGCCAAAGTCTGCACTGCAGAAACTTTTCCGGGGCTGCTGGAGAGGGAGGAGGCAACTCTGCTGAGAGTGGAGATAGAGCTACCTGCAGGTCTGGATCAACTGAGAACAACCAGGGAATCAACGGAGGCCCTGCTTCCCACTCTCAGAGACAAGAGGGCCAAAGAGCATCTCCTCCACCCTCTTGCCAAACACAGCTCCTTGGCTCACTGTGTGTGCAGAAGGTCCAGATGGGGAACTCAGGCCCGGCGCCAGAGCCCAAGAAGATGCAGTCACCAACGCAGGCAATGAAAACCCCACTGTCCAAAGAAGAAACCAAGGAGCACAAAAGGCCAGAGCTCTTGGCATTTGCCAGCAACTCTGGCCCAGAAGCAATTCCGATGAGCCACGTTTTTATCCAGCTTCTTCTTCCAAGGAGGTCAGTGTGCACGGCTCTCCCTTACACAGAAGGAGCTTGCCTGGTCACCAGGGAGCCTAACGGAAGAGTGGGGATTCACCCGATCCTAGTCTGACTGCAACACTAAATGAACTCCAACCTTTTAAGCCCTCCTCCATTAAGCCCAAACTGCAAGATCCCCTCCACTTCTTGTGTCATGTGGGATAATCTATCTCCGCAGATGCGAACAAAAACCTTCCCCCTGTTATTTTTAAGAGTGAACAAGGGAATTCTGGACCCAACCTCTGCCAAGTGCTTGCTCGCCTTAAAATATCCACTTTCCCATTATCTCCTGAAGATAAGCAGAGGCCGGGAAGGGCTGCAATGTTCAGTTGCCTGATCCTCATGCAAAGACGTTTCTGGGGGTTATAAAGTCCTCCTCGAAGCCAGGCCTTTTCTGCACAATCTGATGCCAACGCCAACCTTCTATGGTGAGAAGTCAGACCCCCTTCTGAAGACCTTAGCTGACGGAAAGGTTTTAGGGGCGGAGGCACCTCCCAAGATTATAGCCTCCGCATCCACCATCCATGTCATTCCATGGAGCCACAAGAGGAAAAGAGCACAAGATGTGCAACTGGGCAAAGAATTCAACAGGGAAACTGCTGAATGAGACATCCAGTCCTTGAGGGATGGTGCTCAGTTGCCTGCTGAATTTTGATGCTGTTCCCCTTGCTTAAAAGAAGCATCGCAAACAGGGGCAGATGTGTCCAGTATTATGGCCACTGGTCTTGGTGGGGAGATGGCTTCCCCCTGCCCTAAGATGGGCCAGTCCAGTGGCAGCGCATAGCCCTGCCAAGGTCACACACCACTCCTCTGCCACTGAGCTCACCCAGCCCTGGGTAGGGAGTGCCCATGTGGCTCGAAGGACTGATGCTCTGAGGAGCTACTCTTCTTCCCCCAAGCCCCAGCACTTCTGAGCCAAACTCAAAATCAGGGAGGGGGGGATGAAAGAGACCTTGCAGTGACTGCCCAAAACCTTTCACCTGAAAACAAGGAAACTGTGCACAGCTGGGATTTTCACTCTCCCAGCTTCAACCATCCTCATACTGAAGGAGGAGGGACTCCCAGTGGCAGGCAGGAACAGTCTCTACCCATGCTAAGAACAAGCAACATTTACTATCACACCTTGATTACAGATTTTGTAGCCTATCACGTTTTGAACTGAGTCTGCAGGGCTAGATAAGCACTGCAATTTCACAGGAGTGCAGAAAATGATCCATGTCAGTGAACAGAATTCAACTTCTCAGGACCTTCAACTTTCATTTAAGACCAGCAAGTTCCTAGCCCATCTGGTTGTAAAAATACGCTGAAAATAGGCGAACAAATGCTTGTTCTAATCTCAAACGGGGGGGAGGGGGGCATCCATGTCCTCTACTGCTCTTTTCCCTCTCCCCAGCAGTCACAAAACCAGAATCATGAAAATGAACACCGAAAACTAATTATGTTCCTGCCTGCCACTGGTATTCCCTCCCCTTCCTATCTGAAGACAGAGAAAGGGTGGAAAGAAAATATCTTGCTCAATATTCGACAGATAGCCAGTGTGGTGTAGTGGTTAGAGTGCCGGATTAGGATCTGGGAGATCCAGGTTCGAATCTCTACTTTGCCATGGAAGCTCACTGCGTGACCTTGGGTCAGTCACACATTCTCAGCCTAGCCTGCCTCATAGGGTTGTTGTGAGGATAAAAGGGAGGAGAGGAGAATGATGCAAGACGCTTTGGGTCCCCACTGGGGAGAAAGGTGAGATATCAATGAAGTAAATAAGTAAATAAATATTCACAATTTATTCGGACCAAAGAATCCCAACTGGCTTTCGCACTGCATTAGTGCAGAATTTTCGTTTTAGGCTCGTGCACAGAGCCAATGGGGCGCAGTGATTCAAAGTGTCAGGCCAAGACCAAGAGACTCAAGTTAAATCCCTACTCTTCCATGAAGCTTCCCAGGCAACCTCAGGCCTGGCAGTCTCTCTCCGCCTAGCCTACCTCACAGGGCTATTGGGAAGACAAAACTGCACATGCGTTGCCTTCAGCTCCTTGGAGGAAGAGCAGGATACAAATATACTATATAGACAATGCTTTAAAATCTCTAAGCACAAACTATGCTTTAAAAATATAGAAGATACATTCGCGTTTTCCTCAAGACACCGCTCTTACCTCCTCCCATTGATGGATGTAGCGGATGAGACGCGAGAGGCGCAGCAGTCGTAGAAGACTCAGGATCTTGGTGAATCGGACAATGCGCAAAGCCCGGGCTGTCTTGTAGACCTCCGAATCGATGCCCTTCTCCACGATGAGGAAGATATAATCCACAGGAATGGAAGAAACAAAGTCCACCACGAACCACGTCTTCAGGTACTTCTTCTTGATCCTCTCAGGATCCAGGATGATATCGGTGTTGTCCTCTATGACAATGCCTGTCCGGAAGTTCATCACCAGGTCCATGAGGAAGAAGGTGTCAGACACCACGTTGAACACAATCCAGGGTGCCGTGGTCTCATCTTTGAAGAAGGTGATCCCGACGGGGATGATGATCAAGTTTCCCACCATGAAGAGGAGCATGGTGAAGTCCCAGTAGAACCTGTGGAGAGAATCCAGAAGATTCAGAACTCCAGCTGAGTGGAGAACCAGGCACCAACCAAGGTACCAAGGTAGATGCATTTAAATTATTTACTTACAGAAACATGAAGGCACTGAGACAAAATAGCTACACTGAGTTTAAAAGAAGAGTTAGGTAAACTCTACTCTACTAATCCCCTCCCCAAATGTCTGTTTAGGTCTCTCCATATGCAGAGGGTTTTTTCCCACCAGAAGTCTTAGCTTGCATTCCTAATGACCACAATACCAGACAATCTTGGCTCTCTTTTTAAAGAAGAAGAAAAAGAAGAAGAGGAGGAGATTGGATTTATACCCCGCCCTTCACTACCCAAAGGTGTCTCAGAGCGGCTTACAAACTCCTTTCCCTTCCCCTCCCCACAACAGACACCCTTTTTTAAGAACAGCTCTTATCAGAACTACGGCTTGCCCAAGGTCATCCAGCCAGGTGCAAGTGGAGGAGTGGGGAATCAAACCCGGTTCTCCCAGATTAGAGTCCGTGCACTTAACCACTACACAAAACTGGCTGTGGCACACCAAAAGGCTGTGATTGTCAGCCAGGCCTCCTGCCTGGCTGTCATGTAGATGAGGTGGGGGATGCTTTGGAATGCTGAGTTTTGTTTCTGCTGGCTACCTGATTGGCGGGCTTCTGCTGGCTACCTGATTGGCTGGGGGCCATCAGGGGACCCCTTTGAGTTATGTACATCTTTGCTTCACGCGCTTTCTCTTTAGTTCTGACACGAAACAGTTAAGATACCTGTAACATTACTGTCTCAATAAACTTCACTTCTCTGAATGAACATCGTTGGGAACTGATTGCCTCAGGAGTCTGACAGTGATATGAATAACAGCAGGTAATTACAAAGCAGCCCTGACACCAGTCATCCCCTTGCATCTCACAGGAGGAGAGACCATAAAAGCCAACTTTTCCCCCAACCTGCATCTGACAAAGGGAGCTTTGACTCTTATGAAACTCTTGTGGGTCTCTAATGAGCTCCTGGACTTGAATTTAGTCGTCCTGCTGCAGACCGACACGGCCTCCCTCTGAAATGATAAAAGGGAACACAGCTCTGGTCCACACACACCTTATGGCCATCATCGCTTGACTGATCCGACCACAACTTCTATATTTATGACTGAGGGATACAGCAATGCTGAGTAGAGGAGCCCGTGCTCAAATTTAACCGCAAGCCATCAAGAAATCAAACATCTATGTGCAGATTGGCCCAATTTAGTCAAAGCAATTCAAGCTCAGAATCTGAATTTCTTTTAGAGCCTGGGAGACAATCCCCCCCCCGCCCCCAGCTAGTGAAAAGTCCACAAACTCCACTTTCCTCTGCAGCTATGAGGGCTGGGAATTTGTTGTCGGACTCATGCTACTAAAAAAAAAAAACACAAGGGGAAAAAACAAGTTTATTAGCCACTTTGCGTACAGAACCATGATGGTAATTTGCCTTACTTCCAAAAAAGAAAAAAGAAAAAAGAACTGCACATCCATAGATTGAAAAGACAGACAAGAATGTGACAAATACCACCAAAATTTCCGGAAAATTAAAAAAAGAACTGCAAAGTAATTAAAGGTATGAAGATATAAACCAAAAAAAAACCCATCCAAATATGAATATGTAAAAAAATGAAGATGGATGACTTCCAAAGGGCATGCCACTGAAGTTCTAGGGTGCTGATATGGCCCCAAATCCAGCCCACTTTCGATGCTTCACGTCACTTAACGTGCATCCCGCTCTCATAACAGTAATGATGAAAGTACTTTCCAGTATTTGCTTCTCATTGCAACCCCTACAATAACTCTAAGAAGGGTGAAACAAATTTCGAATCCGGTGGCACCTTTAAGACCAACACAAAAGCTTACACCCAGAATTAAACTTTGTTGGCCTTAAAGGTGTCACTGGACCCGAACTTTGTTCAGCAACCCACCTGAATCTATTTAAGAAGGGTGATGAGTACTGTTCCATGTTACAGATGGGGGGGAGGGGAGATGCAGGGAGAGATAGGGAGAGAGTGACTGACTTATGGCCAGCTAAACCTGGAGCTTCCAGGCTGCCTCCACAGCTCCCATGGGATTAAATTCCAGCTCTTTGAGAGATCGAGGGGTCCCCCTTTCCCTTTCCCTTCCCATCCCACCACACTCTGTCCCTCCTTCCCCAAGCTGCTGGAGGCAGCAACAACCTTCCCCAACAGCCTGCAAGGTCGAAAAAAGCAAGCAGCGCAACTGGGCTTGTTTTGGCATCTCCCCACATTAAGGACAGCTTAATGTAAAAACTGCAATTTTCCACTGGTGTACTCAAACAGGATGATGGCACTCTGAACAAAAGACCAGTTTTGTCTCTCCAAGCAGCGAGGAACATAACCCTCCCTCACCCTGCACACATTTTTTTAAAGTGTTGTACGGGAAACTGACAATAGTGACCAGCATTTCAGTGCTGCAACCAGCCGGACAGTCTCCAGTGTCCCCATTTATTGTGCGCGCCCCAAGTCTTTGCAAAGCTGTGGTTTTATGGGAGCACCGAGAAAGGGGGCAGGACACAGAACTCCTTCTGGGTTCAGCTTCTTGAGAATCTCAGATTTCATTATTTTTTAAAAGCAAGAGTTTCTAAACCTTAAGATGCATCTGAAAGCACACACGCAATGCTCGCCAAAGCCTCCAAAGCCACATACGAGGCCAAATAAATAAATAAATAAATAAATCTCTTAGAAACACAGAAACATAGAGGTGGAAGGAACCTCAAGGGTCATCTAGTCCAACCCCATGCTCAACACAAGAAATTCATAACTCCCCCTCCCCCAGTGACCCCTGCTCTATGCCCAGAGGAAGGCAAAATACCTCCAGGATCGCTCCTGACCCCAAAGTGGCGATCGGCATTACCCCGGGGCACATAAGAAAGGGCTACAAGAGCCTAGCATTGGCTCATCCCTTTGAGCTTACTTGCACCTTTCAGCAAGAAGCAGGGATGGGCACAAGCTGGCTTATGAGCGAAACTTCGTGAGGGATTTTGGGGAACAGGTCCTGAAGAGATACAGTTCCAGACAGACTGCCTCTGCTCAAACAAAATGTTTACCAAACTTCAAAGCAACTGGGGGGGGGGGTGCAATTCTCCAGCCTTGGAAACACCAATAGGTTCCCCGTGCATCTGATGTGTGCAGCTTGCACTTTTGAACTGGAGCCTGCCATTTCCCCCAAAAGTACTTTCCTGGGGCATCTCCTTTGGGGGGTCATAACTGAAGACCCCCTAAATCCAATCTACACATAACTTGGAGGGCATGCAGAGAAGCGTCAGAGGGAGGTTCCCCTGTGAGTTTGATGTCTCTAGTTTGCACAGGGTCCATTCCATACACTCCTAAACCTGCGCCTGTCATTTCACCAGAAAGCACTTTCCTGGGCGCACCTTCTGGGGGAGGCATAACTTGGACCCTGTAAATCCAATCCTCACCAAATCTGGAGGGCAGGTAGAGGAGAGTCAGATAGACATCTCCTGAGCATTTGGTGTCTCTACCATTTGCGGGGAGGGGGGCATTGTACCATGTCACGAACCTCATGAATCTCACTGGTTCATTTGGCAGCTCAAAGTTCGTGACAGGCATGCCACCAACCGAACTGCATTTTCCCCATTTCCCGAGCAATAATTCTTTCAGCAGTCACGGAGGAAGGCAGCTGCACCCTGTAGAGCTCCACACCTTGTAGAGCTCCGCACTCCCTCATCGGGGCTAGCAAAGCCAGAATAAACTGTTTCTTTAAAAATAGTACAAACTGCAGAATAATTATGCAGATTTGCATAGTGGGTTGCATATCTGACGTTGGCTGCCGGCTCCAGCAAAGTAGAAAACCAAATTAATCACTGCAGAAAATGCATCAGCAGCCTGGGAAGACAGGTAGTTAAATGGGGGTGGGTTTTCAAAACAGGGAGGAGAAACAGTTGCTGTCCCCCTGGGTCCTGAAGCCGAAACAAAGCAAGCATCTAAAGAGCACAGAGTTTGCCTTCTCACCTTCCTCCAATGACGGCAGGGGCCCCTGAGGGGTTGCTACGGGGACCGTGACTGAGGTCACAGCCACACGGTGACGACTGCAGGGCTCCGGGGAGGTACCAGGAAGGCTCAGACTGATTTCTGGGTGAGCTTCAATTCCTCCCCACCCCCACCCCAAGGACTGCAAAGGGGCCATTCCAGAGTCCAGTGGGGGGAGAGTGGAGACCGGCAGCTCAGAAGGCGGCTGAGCTGACTTGCAGCCGAACAGTCAGAGTTGAGTCTCACAGCACTTTAGAGCAGGGGTGTCGAACTCATTTGTTAGGAGGGCCAGATCTGACATAAATGAGACCTTGTTGGACTGGGCCATGTGTGTCATAAAAGGTAATGCCAGGTAGGGGAGATATAAACTTTATAAAGGATACAAACACAAAGGGGTTTTTTTCCCACGTAACTAGCACTCTTGCAATATTCTGCTTATTTAACAGTACCTGATAACTGACACCTCTTGCTCTGAATTACTGCATCAAAATGTCTGTGCTGTCGCAATCTTGAGTATGCTGTTCAAGTGTGTATCTGTAAGCTGCGAACCTGCTTTTGATTTATTGACATTCACCACAGAAATCTCATGCTCAAAGTTCTGAGACTAGGACCCAGGTTAAAACATGAAATGGCTGAGTGATTAAGAGAGTCCGGTGAAGCAAGCTATGATGCAGCAGCAGAACTGGAAGCAGGAGATGGCCAGTTCCACTGCGGGCCTGATAGAAGCCCTCTGGGGGCCTGATTCGGCCTCCGGGCCGCATGTTTGCCACCCCTGCTTTAGAGAGAGACCAGGAAGCTTTGGAGCTCTCACTCTTGGAAACCCGGAAACTCTTGTTGGTCTCTACAGTGCTGCTGGACCCAAATCTACCCGGTGCTGGCCTCAGAGAATCCTACTCTCAGGAAAGCTCTTTCTGCTCCAGCCTGTGTGTGGCACATTGCAAAGGAGTCTAAGGGACGCTTGCTTCC